ATGTTCTCCTAAAGCCTGTAAGGGAATCCACCAGCATGAGAGAGGCTTTATTCCTTCAAGGCAATTTGGTCCCATTCTGCCAGTTCACCAATGGGGGGAGGCCTGGCACGTTTCCAAAGGTGATTAGTGCTGGATCTATTATTTCAGAGTGGAGTGTGTTTGGGTGGATGACGAGGGAACCTATAATTTCATAGCTGTTAGTAGAATGTTTCTGCTAAACCTCTTCTCACGCTAAAAATTGGAGACACATTCTGAACAGCCAAGATGATTTGAGGGCATTTTACAGTTCCAGAATAGAATGCACACACAGTTTCTAAATCTTGAGGGTGTAAATCAGAAGAGGATAAAATATTTCCTTTCAGATATTGATTACTAGTTTGACTCAGTTTTATGAGACTGAAATAATATTTTCAATTACTTGATCTCTAAACACTCCCCTCAACCCAATAAATGTACCCTTAGCATTGTAAGCTTTAATTAGGCGACCAAAAGCCCACTCACTGATGCTGAGTTTCTGCAGACTCAGCGACCTCCTAGCACGCAGTAGAGCTTCCCTTTTGGGTATCTCTAAAGTGTTAACTCTTTGCAAGAGCAGAATCTCATGCCTCAGCTCTCCCCCAAGGAGTAGCTGCTAGGTTTGAACAGCAGACCCTGCTGTTTGCAGTTCAATGCATAATCCACTATGTCCCCAGGCCTCCCCTTAAACTACTAGTTAGAAAAAAAGTATTGTATTCTTAAAATGTGCCACTGCTGTTGTGTTTGGGAATAGTGTGACTTGGGTTAAACCAAAGGCTAGGTGACTTATCAAATATTTTAACATCCACATTCATCATCTCCTATAAAATGTAAGCATTTCTTTATTCGTGTTTTTGAATTGTGTTCTAAATGGCTAACATGTATATAGATGAATCCAACAGTCACATTATACTTTTCTTGTGGGGGTCATTTTTCGCAGATGCTTAGTAATGTCATTGAACTTGTAAATTAGGTGAAGGAGCTCCAGCCAGGTATCCATGGGTCAGCTATGTGGACTCTAGCTGCCAAAGGCGCTTCTCTGTCTGAACAGAGCGCTTTGCTCAGCCAGTGTAGACATGGCCTGATACACAATGGATCTTCTCCCTTGAAATCTGGAGTTTGGACTGATCTGATTGCGTAGCTCGAACTTTTTCACAGGATGGATGAGTGGCTCACATGCCTGCATTTTAGGGAAGTCTGAGCTGGAACAGTATTGTGGAAAAAAAAAAATGAAGCCACTTATAAGGACCATGAGCCACAAGCAGTGCCCTCTGTCGCAGCAGCTAACCAAGGGTCTCTCAAATCAAAGTTGTAACATGAGCTGAAATGTCTGTGGCAGGTTGGCTGTTCTTGCAAGTGTCATCTGTCAGGTCTTCCCTGAACCTGTCAGCGTGCAACATGGTCATGTCACTTCTAACCAAGTTGTCACCTATATTGTGGAAAACAACCTGCTTTGTGTTTTCTGCCCTCAGATATTACTGGGGGTGGGGGGGATACATGTAAAAGGGAAAACAAAATTTTCATGCTGGATTTTTATTTTGCAGATGTGCAGGCTGGCGGAGTGAAGGATGGAGTGCGTTGCCAAGTCTAGTTACCCCATTCAGCGCAGAATGACTGCAGGGCATGTATGCACACTGCCCCCAAGAAGTCTGCCCAGGGTGAAACAAACCCCTGGGGGGGGTTGAAATCAGGTGTGTGCAGAATGCTGGAACCCCGACTTCTCGGATTTATTTATTTTGCATTGCTTAAGGAGAGTGGGAAGGCTGGTGGCTGTTGTGTGCTTTATTAACTCTTCATATGATCAAGTGGATCCAAACGTTTAATCCCCTTTCTCTCCTAGGATCTGGTGCCTTCTCCCTGACGGCCTAGGAGAGCCTTCTGGGTGTGCTAGTAGACATTTATCTTTCCAGCGGCACAAGTGTGGCATTTTTCATATTCAGAAATAGGTTTTGATTTGGGGGATATTTTGAAATTCAGACTTAAACTTTCCTAGACCTTTTTTTCCCTCTAGAAAAAAGAACTGTTTCCTTAGATAAAATACATGCTACCTGTACTATATGAGTTAGCGGCAAGAAAATTGCCTTCAAATTATCCTTGAGAGTGTCTGCCCGCATTATCTTTCCAAAGTTGTTAAATGGCTCAGAAAAAAAAAATCAAGCCAAAGTACCAGTTTTAGAAAATGTAAATCGCACTTCCTTCCAGGATGAACTTGTGCTTAATAGCCTGTGGTTAATTCATTCAGAGACGACAAGAGTTTTGTTGCTGTGTTTTGGTTAGAAAGGAAGGAGAGGCTGTTCCTCAGACGTCATAGAACAATCGATACTGAGCCACGGATTATTGGCTCCCGTGGAAGCATGGAGACTCAGCAGTGAAATTCCTGTAAAGGTGAGGGGAGGCATTGATTTTCCTTCTGATCCCTGGAGAAAAATGACAGCAGGAATGGATGCTCAATTTCAGATTGGAAACAAGTCTGACTTGAAACTCTGCCTTTAAAAAATTAGTGACCTTTTTTTTTCTTTTTCAAACCAGCACGGGAGATTTTCTCATATTTGTTAGATTTACATCTTTAATTCTTTGGAGGCCAATGGCATAAAATACCAACCCAAAGCATCGACTAAACGACCCACATTTTGTTTATAATTCAAATCATGTGCTTTCCTTGTAGAATGCTTGTGCTTTATCCCACATTCTCTCTCCTAACCTATACGCACAGATGCATCAGTCTTTCGGCTTTTAAGGAAAAGGTGTGGTTTTTACACAGTCACACTTAAAAATAGGAGTCCATCGCTAATTTTCTATATTTAGCCTGAGGACTTCTCCAGCTAATTCATGCCATCATTTTTAGACACATGCTTGCTTGTTTACTTATTTTACAGTTTCTTCTAGATTTCTCAAAGTTGAGCAACTACATAGCACACTGGCTGTTTTACTGCACTGCTTAGCATTCCATCCGTACAGGCAGATGGCATTCCTAGGCCTGGAAGTATAAATCCCTGGGGAAGTCAGCTGAAGAACATTTTATGCATCACTCATCCTATTAAGATCCCTGGGCTGCTCCATTTTTCTACAAGGTGAGAGATTTATGGTGAGTTGGCTTCCAGCAGTAAAAAATGATGTATGCTAATGGGTCTTGCTTCAAAGTATATGTTTTTGGAATCCGTAATGGGGAGTATAGAAATGGTTTTATAAGCAAAAGAATAATTGGAGCAATTTAAGTTATTCACACATGCTAGAGTGTGCTCATCTGTCCCCAGGTAGCATTTGATTGTTCTACCCTGGGACCCACAGTCTGTAGTATTGTCTTCCTCCTGTGAAGTGAGGTGGTAAATTGGTCATTTCGATAATAAACTTAAGCAGAGCAGCTGATCAAGGAAGAGAATTCAATCCTTAAAGTAGAAAATTGCCAAATTACCCCCTCACTTTGAATGGGGGTAACTGGAAATTGAGTTTTAGCTCCTTGCGGGACCAAAAACTCACTCTAAGGAAGTTAAAATATAAAATGTTTGCAAGTATGTGGTCAGATGTAGAATGACTTCAATTATTTTTCTTTTTTGCTGGACAGTGGATAACTCTCATTTAGTTTTGTATTCTCTTTTTCCATCTGGAACTTTCAGAGCTGCTGAAACTACGTTGAGAGACAGTGGTTCTACTTTTGACTCTAACTTTGGGTCACCTCGTGAATGTCCTTGCTCTCAGTACCGCAAGGAGAACATTCTAGACGGAAAAACAACGATCCATTAAAAGACGGCTACTGATTTCAACCAAATAAAAGAGAACGGAAACATTCTGGACATCCTATCAGATGAGGTAAGATTTTATCTTGTCCTTTGAGATTTCATTTATTATTATTTCAACCCCCTCAATTTGTCTCTTAGTTTTATAAACACACAGCTCATTAAACATCGCCCAAACTGCAACCAATATTAGACCTTTAACATTTAGCTGTTTAGGATATCTTACTTAGGCATAAATCATATTTTACTACTTTCCATCTTTTGCAGCATTGATACCTCTAACTCAATATACCATGTAAAATATATGCATGTAAAAATTAGTATAAATTATGAAGGACCGGGCAATCAATGTACAAATGTGCTTTACACAATTGATGTACGGATGGATTGTGATAAGAATCGTATGAGCCCCTAATAAAATGATTAAAAAAAAGAAATCAAATGAGGGGGAGGCGGGGCAATGAGGAGCTGATAACAAGGGCTTAAATAGAAACTCAATGTTTATAAAATAGTGATGGCAACATATGTACAAATATGTTTGATAAAATTGACGTATGGGTTGTTACATAAGAGCTGTAAGAGCCCCCAATAAAATGATTGTTAAAAAACAAAATTATGAAGGACCTAATTCTTTAGGTGAAAAAGGCATGTTACCTTCCACCTCTTGTTGAGGCTCAACTTCTGGTGTGCAAATTCTTAAGCAAACTAAAAAGAATGAAATATTTTTAATTATTTGAAACTTCAAATAGGAAGCAAAGATTGAACGGTAAATGACAGCCTTATGTTTATTTGTAAATCATACAGTAGTTTGCCTGAGCAGAAAACTTGTACAAAAGCGGATGCATCGAGGATGAAAGCGATGAGCAGATACAAATTGCTACAATAGACAGAGTTGCAGGCTCCTCAGACCTCCGGCCCTTTTGATTTGGTGTATATGATGTAATCCATCAAAATGTCCAGGGACTCTCTTTGTAGCCTAAAAGCACTCGTGTTTTCAATTTGATTACCTATCATCTTTATATTAAAATCGTCTACACCGTGTAAGTATCTTACCTGTATGGAGCAACATGGCCACACCCATTTTCACCTGGAGCTAAGTGTATCATACGACTTTTCCTGAGAGGTTGCAAAGATTAATATCTGCTAAGTAATGTGTTGGTTTGTAACAGATCATGGATTTCTGAGGGGACAAGTGGCATTTAATTGAAGCATAATTATCGTCAGTGTGAACAGCTTCTGGGAGTCAACCTTGCCAAGAACAGCGTCTTGGACTCATTGAAATTGTCTTTGCTGCTCTGTTTTCCTCCTTCTGCAGCCGTCTCTCCTTTGTTTCCTTTTGTGTCCTCTCTTGTCTTCCAGTTGGCAGTGAGAGAACCGAAACAGAGCAATAAGACTGCACGGCTACATGTTCCCAGTGCCACCAACTGGGAGGTAAGCTGACTAACATTTTGAAAGCCCAGCCCATTTCGTTCACAGCAGGCATGGCAGGTAAAAGCATTTCTGCATTAAAGCACATGCTCTGTTTTTCAGGTTCTTGGTCTAAATTCTCTTGTTTGCCACTTGGGGGGAGAAATGGAAGAAGGCTGGAGACCAAATGCCTAGGGTATTTAATCGAATGCCCAGCAATCGATGATTATAGGATGCAGAAATTTCACTTTCGAGAATTTGTAATGATGGGGTCCTGTCAACCCAAATGGGTGCCTCCTTCTACTCAGCATGAAAAAGATGGATAGGAGGTCACAGGAAAATGCCATGTAGTTTTAATCATCCTCCTGGCAACTATGCAGGGTGAAAATGTGCCCATGTGCGAAGTGCCCTGAACATTACATTGTGTGTGCCATAGTTTGCTTGTATTCGAACAAGGACTTGTGTGTTCTGTTAATTTGGTGAATTTTCCCTAAGTGGTAATTATAAGCGTTCTTAAATAATTTACAAAGCTCACTTAATCAAACAAATGTCATAAAGCCCATCCATATTGATCCTTGACCTTTTGAGCTGTCACCGTGCCATATTTGATGCCTTTTGCTCAGTCGGGTTCAGATGAGACATTAGGGAGCATGCAGTATGAGACAGACAGTGGCCTTTCTTCTCGGAGCAGCAGCAGGCTGTAGAATCATATCCTCAGGGAGGATTTTCCCTGAGAGTGGTGAAATTGGAATGAATAATGTCAGCTGACATTCATACTGAATATATATATTTTAAGGAAGCTTGAAATCATGATATAAGAGCCATCCAAGATAGATGAATGTGATTACTGCAATAGTATCATAATTCATTTTATAAATAAGTCAAGATAAGCCTCAGTGTCCACATGGGCTATGACTGAAATTAATTCAGCCCAAAGCTTCCCTGCCCCTCCACCCTGGGGTTTGAGCCCCCAGGTATACCATCCTACCCTGCAGCATAACCGTGGTTTTTCTGTTTTGTTTTCTGAGCAGGTGAAGGATATTTCTTAGCAGACTGTATAAAAAGTTAACAGAGGTTACAGAGGACAAAATAAGATAATTTTTATAGATTTTTTGAAGGTTGAGCGAGAAAAAATATGGATAATTAAGGGCCAATGGAAGCCCATAGCATGATAGTACCCAAAAATCTTTTCAAGGACATGAAGCCCCTTCTGTTTCCTTTCGCTGACTTGGACTCAAATTGGCAAAGTTTTTCTATTGAAAAATGTTCCCCCAGGTCCATGAGGCATCTCCAATACTCATTTATTTTGGGAAGAAAGGTCCAGTATCAATACGTACGGTGTTTCAGATGCCTGGTTCTCCGCTGCTCTAACTGAAACAGTGCCATGGACAGGACTGGAGTCTTTTGAACACGTGACGTGCTTAGCCTATTCTGAATTTCATTGCACTAGATGGACACCTAGCTTCCTTAATGGCAAAGACCCTACATTTGTTTGGCTTGTGCTTTCTGTTCTCAGCACCCTTTCCCAGGGTCGTGATGATTGGGGCCAAGGATTGGGAGCATGGTTGATACGGATGATTTTGGTACGTGTCAGTTTTTTCTAAAATCTTAACTTGAAAAATGCTGTGGAATCAAATGTCTTTCTTTTGGGTCCGGACCAAATAATTGTATGAAATGTCAAGGGCAGGGTAGGAGTCCATCAGAGGAGATGGAGGAAATTGCCCCTTGGCTACTGTGGGTCTTCGAGGCCCTCGGTGTTATCTCTCAGGAGCCATGTGGTGCTCTGTGTTAGGCATTGGACAGCTGACCACAAGGTTAGCAGTTCAAACCCACCAGCCACTTAATGGGAGAGGGAGTCAACGGACTGTTCCTGTAATGATTTCCGATCTCAGGAACCCTCTAGAGCATGGTTCTCTACCTTCCTAAAGCTGCGACAGCTTTCATACAGTTTCTCATGTGGTGGTGACCCCAACCATAAAATTATTTTCATTGCTACTTCATAACTGTAATTTTGCTACTGTTGTGAATCAGATGACCCCTGTGAAAGGGTCGTTTGACCCCCAAAGGGGTTGCGACCCACAAGTTGATAATCACTCCTCTAGGGTTTTGATCAGTAAAAAAATCAACGTAAAGACAGTGGGTTTAACTTCACTGTTGATACATCGGACATTCCAATCTTGAAAAGCAAAGTTCAAGGACTTGAGACAGACAAATGATAGTGTAGACAGGTGAATTCGAAATTATCCTACTTACACAATCCTGTACACATGCCTTGGCCCAGTGATTTTTAGAGGGTCATGGAATAACTTGGCTGCGGATCTCATCGCAGTTTGTGTGTGTTGGACTTAAAGCCATTCTCCCAAACGTTCGCCGGCTATTCTTTTCATTGTTTATTAGCGATGCAGAAGATTCTCCTTTGTCTCCTTCCACAAATGCCTACTGTTATAGATTTATACCCCTCGCTTTCCCTCCTTGTTCCCTGTCTTTTCTGAAGATAACCTTTTATTTTTTTCCCCTTCTTTGTCCAATATTTTTGTGTACTGGTCTGTGTTAATACAGGGCATTAAAAATTCAGTGGGTTGGCGGCTCTGGTCTCTTTGTCTAGAATATTGAATTGTATGTGTGTGTGTGTTATGATAAAAAAAAACCTTTCAGCTTAAGTTTAGAGCACCAGGATAGTAGTTATCATTGAAGTGCAGTGCTTGGTTTTGAATTCTTGCTTCAGCACTTACTAGCAGTATGAACTGTTTCTAAGCCTGTTTCTCCATCTTTAAAATGAGCAAAGTAATTCTACCTGTCCCCATAGGGTTGCCACGAAGATGAAATGAGATAATTAATATAAAGTGCTAAGCACCGTGTCTGGCATATGCTAAGAACTCAAAGCACATTAGCATTGATCTTCAGTATCACTGTTGTTTATTGCTCATATGTGCATATACACATGTGCTATAGGGTGGGTCATTCACCAGTGAATGCTGACCAGTCCTAGGCAAACTTGTGCACAAGACAATGTCTGCTTTCACCATTGCCAGCTTCTATTGAAAAGATACATTTAGAACTTCTTTTCTATGTCTACTCCCTCTTGATGAGCCCTGGTGTATTTGTGAGAAGAAAGACAGGGCTCTCTACTCCCCAAGAGTGAGTCTCAGAAACCCACCAGGACAGTTCTACCCTGCCCTCTTAGGTCACCGAAGGTGAGCCTCAACTTGATGGCAGGGGTTTGGTTTAGTTGTGTTTGTCATCCAGTAGTTTTTCACCCCCAAGCAACCGCAAGTGATGAAGTAGAAACTCCCCATGGAATTTGTGGAAGGACATCACCAGGTCGCTAACTTCTCAGTTATCAGCTGAGCACTTAGCATTGAATGACCAGTTACCAGTCAGTCTTCCTTCCTTTAGCAGTAAAACCTCCTTTCAAGCAAGGACTGGAAATCTACCCAAGAAAGGGTCTAGATCAGCGGTTCTCAACCTGTGGGTCGCAACCCCTTCGGGGGGCTGTCAAAGGACTCTTCCACAGGGGTTGCCCGATTCATAACAGTAGCAAAATTACAGAGATGAAGTAGCAACGAAAATAATTTGATGGTAGGGGGGTCACCACAGCATGAGGAACTGTATTAAAGGGTCGTAGCCTTAGGAAGGTTGAGAACCATTGGTCTGGATAGAAGGCTGAGAATGCTTTGAGGAGCTGCCTTTTAAAAGGCCACCGGCCTTTCGTCAAGTTTCCACTTCTTAGCTGGTGAGGCTGCACGCACCCAGTAGCAGCTGGACGAGGGTGTGACCGACCCCTGCATGTCAGAGACATCCCCCAGGGAGACTGGTTAACTGGCCAAGGGGTAAAGTTAGTTCAGCTGCCCCTGGTGCCTTCTGGGATTTTGGTTTATCTGACGTCCTCAAAGGCTGCCTCTCTCTCAGCCCAGGGCAATCAAGGAAGGTCTGTCAGCATTTTCTTTTCTTTTCTTTTGTGTCTGTGCGTTCTGAATCTCTTGATGCCCTTGACAATAAGCTGTAGCCCTTTGAACATTTCTCCCCTAATGTTCTTATTCTCATGCCTCCCCTCCGCATCCTCATTCTTAGCTATCCATTGTGTTTCTTGGACCAAGGTCTGTATTTATGATTTAAATATATTTGTGGTTTTTTGTTTATTGCACTTCAAACTAGTATCCTGAGATGCTCTTCCGAAATACTCTTCAGTTTGGTGTAATTCTGTTTCTCCTGTGTTTTGGGTACCTGGAGCTTAGGGTTAGAAAGACTCAATGGAAGTTTCAGGCATGGTTTTGCTTGGAAAACAATTTAATGTCAGCCTCAGTTTATCAGTAAAGTGGGATGAAAGGGTTTCCCCGTTGTGTTATACAAATAGAACCAGGTGAAAGTATTTTTTATGAATTTGAAAGTGTTCTTTCTGAAGCTTTGTTTATCTTTCATCTTTGTCCCCGTTACAACTAGTGTTCAAGCAAATTTTTTGAGGGGATGGCTTGAAAAGATACTTTATGTTTAGTAACTGTGAAAGAAAAACTAGGATTCTAAGACTTAAGTCCAGACAGCTAAGCTCTCATTAGCATTTTCCCTCGGCTCCTGAAACAGCCATTCAGTGCCTTTTTATGCTGGCACTGCCACATTCCTTAGCCCCAAATTTTACCACCATGCAGAGATATCCCCTAGGGGAATATTCCAGATGAAGGTGTGAGAGGAGAAATACTCATTCGTGAAAAGAAGAAGCCCATGTAGATGGGCTAGACCCTCACATTGTTTCTTACAGGATTCTTTTTTTTTAAAAGAGCATCAATATTTGGCAACATCAGGTCAAGATATCCCCAGGTCACCTAGCAATTTGGATGGAGGCCACGATAATATTTGCAGGTTCTTCTACATAAATGGGAAGAAAGGAAAGTGAATATTTGTTGAACTTCTCCAAAACAGTCCCACCACCCGGAGTGATAACTGCTCATTTTGAGTTTTTTTGCAAGACATTGACTTGACACTGAGCTGCAGACTTGACAGAGTTTTCTTATGTTAGTCCCAACAAACAA